TACTTGATCATTCACGAGAGTATGTATATGAACATTTTGAGTTTAGCTTGCGATTTAGAAAACAAAATCTTGAATGACTTGGACGAGAAATATTTTCATATTTGTCGGCTCATTTTCCTAAAGTATAATAAATTATACGGTGTAGATCATCTTAGGAATACTTTAGCATTAATTAATTCGACTAATAACTTGATTCCATTTCTTCATACAGAAAATGTTGACGATTTATTACAAGATTATTGTACAAATCATACAAATATTTTAAACAAACACAAATGATATGTGCATATAGAACGAAGTTAAATTCCTTTCATTTTCACCGTTTTTCTTTTCTGTTAATAGGCACTTGTCCTTCAGGAAATATGATTAATGGCACTGATCTAACTGTTTCATTTAGATCAGGTTTAAGTGCTATATTCGGTTGTTAAGCGGAGGCCAGAACAATGATTGATTGATTATACAGATCGCTCAGGCACAAATTATCCCGATCGGGATTTATAGCCCAATCGGAATAATCGTACAGGCCGATCGCGATTTTATCCTGATTGGGATAAAAGTCATGACTCTGCACTGGCAGAGTGGGTTTTAGTCAGTTGAATTATGTTGTTCTGGTTTTGAAACATCAAAAAATAATCAAAATCATGAAATTTTCATCGCTGTTTGGCTCGATTTGAATATGACTAATTCACATAAATACAAAGAGACATTGCTATGCTTACGTTCTATTATTAATCATATAAAAATTCTTGAAGATGCGCACGAATGTTTCGATTATATATCTTCTGCTATAGATGCAAAACTATGTCTTATAATGCCGTACGGCCTTGGTGAATAAATATTACCACATGTTGGAAAATGTATACCTCAAATTATATTTATCTATCTGTTTTTAGAAGGGAAGAAAAATCATATGGATGAACAAAACGTTATGAAACTATACGTGAAGTATATGAGGATCAACTAGTGAATAAATTATCTGAAGATGTCCAGTCATATGAGAAAGACCTGAAATCAACAGCGACGATTTTTAATTTAGTTAAAACTATCGAAACATCAATAAACGATTTAACAACAGGGGAAGCAGAGTTTATATGGTTTCAGTTACTTTTAGAAACATTATTTCGTATTCCTCAATCGGAGACAGCCAAAAATGATATGGTTAACGAATGTCGAAAATTCTGTAAAAATGACCAAATAGAATTGAGGAATTTGAGAAAACTTATGATTCAGCCAATGTTATACGCTGGTACACTCGTGAGTGTTTCGTTTATCGCTTAATAAATCGAGCGTTTCGAACACAAAATATCGATATTATATTTCAATTTCGTTTTTTCATAACTGATCTCTACAAAAACTTACAATCTGAATTTGCTCAAACGTTATCTTTAGGTCCAAAAAATATAACACTTTACCGTGGACAACGTATCAAAATAGATGAGATGATAAAATTAGAGTCAAATATTGGTCAACTTATCTCGATGAATACATTTCAATCGGTAAGCAGATCATGCGAAGTTGCAGCACAGTTTGCGGGAGGTGACGATCCCAGTTGTTTAGTCAATGAAGCACAAGTTATATTTGAAATGAATATCGACACAAGTGCATGTCATTCAAAACCATTTGCTGATATATCACACCTTTCATTTATGAAAAGTGAAGATGAGATATTAATGTCAGTGGCAACGGTATTGAATTGAAGCCGTCGAACAGCTTACAGATGTTTTATGGGTAGTAACATTGAAACTGAGTAACATTGAAACTGAAGAAAACACGCGATTAAATATATTAACAA